GTTTCACAATTTGAGTTGAATTACTGAAATAAATGAACTTTTCCATGACATTCTAATTTATTGAGATGCACCTGTATATATACACACACACACACACATACACACACTAGTCAACATTTGAAGTGGATCAACTATTCTGATTTATACACATCAAGCTATAGGTACATATAGTGAAATTACAACTATATATTAAATGTATATAATTTAAGTAAAATACACATGCAATCTAAAATTTATTTTTATAAATATATAAATGTATTTTATATATCAAGTTATACAGATTTTTTAAAAAGTTAATATATTTTAAATATTGAGGATTATACATATTGATATTTACGCAAGTATGTAGAATTAACAATAATATGTAACTATATACTCAGAATTTATATTTAAATACATATTCCAATTTACAGATATATTCCAAATGTTTAACTATATATTGTGATGTATACGTTCCAAAGTACATATACATTTAGTGAAATTAAAATTATATTATTTTCTATAATATTAAAATTATATTATATATTATTCTATATAATATAAAAATGTTTTTAAATTATTTATATATATAAAAAAAAATGTTTTAAACCAATGCCTTAAATAAATAACCCTTAAAAAATAAAGAAATTATTTAGTTTTGTAAAGAAATTAATATTTGTGGGTATCACATACTTTTTCATCTTTTAAACATTTTTAATTATAATATATACACACTACATTTTATATATATATATATATATATATATATATATAGTCAAATCCTTATGTAGTTGTGTATGTCAAATACCTCTTTGTTAGTGTGTTTGGTCGCATGTGTTCAGTTGTGAAAAGAGATTGCAATCCTTCTTAAGGGTGTCGCAGAAAAGAAATTGCGTTGCAGCAAAACTTTGTGTTATTTTAATCTGTCTCTCCGGAGTAAACTCAATAAAGGCTGGGGGGAGGAGACAATACTCCTGTCGCCACGGCAACAGACTTGAGTGATGCATATTGCCAAGGAGACGAGGGCATTTTTACAATTCCACTGTCTGTTCACAGTGATGCTGCCAGACAAATTAGCCGCTTAAAACCCGTCTCCCGAACACTCCTCCGCCGTCAGCGTCGTTAGCCTCTGACCAAATAATTCGCGCACAAACCAGAGAACGAAGGGAACGAAACGTTCGTTTACAGCTCAAAATCAGTCCCGTTTTTTGGAGCATGTGTATTTATTTTATTATTTAGTCATTTATTAGACGCTTTTATCCAAAGCGACTTACAAATGAGGACAACAGAAGCAATCAATTGTAGTATTAAAACAACTAAAAACAGATCCAAAACTAAAACGCTATACATACTACCTATACACATTTTAAAAATAAAGAGATTAAATAAAAGTGACAAATGCATACAACAAAATGTCAAAACTTAACATTTAAATGAAAAACAAAAAAAAATAAAGCTAAAAACAATTCAAAATATTAAAGAACAAAAGGTATGAGTATAATAATGATTCTAACATAACACTAAGCCAAACACCAAAAAAACAACTACATGTGTGTATGTACAACCACACACACATACATATATACTGTATATGTACATACACATTTATAAATTCAATATATATATATTATTTCATTTCCATTTAGTTTGTTGAATATCAAAACTGAAACAGAAGCGAAACAAGTAATAGGAAATGTGTATGTTTTTATGGAGAACTTCCAAACATTAGATGCGTTTCAGGATATGATTAACAGTCCAAAGTCGAAGGGAACATGGTAATTGGTGTGATATTCTTTGGGAACAGTTGAATGTTGGCATGTGACTTCCTGTAGACGTAACATTTCTTTTAAGACACGTGCAAATTGCATCGGTTGGGTTATGAAAGTACCTGTTTGGATAATCATGATGTTCTGTGACTCGTTGGGCCCCTCCGAGTCTAATTTTGCTCAGGTGTGAGATACGCTCGAGTGTACGAGTTAATGAGGCACAACCAAGAACGCTTTTTCTGTCTGCCACAGTTTATATAGACAAGGCCGTGTGCGTTTATTCTCTCATATCTCCGTTTTATGAGTGGCCAAGCAGTCCTGAATGGACTGGATTCAGAATAACAAGGACACAAACACGAGCGGCCAATCACAGGTGATTCCTTCGCTTTCCGGTCCTTTGAATCCCTGGTTTTGATCTTTTTCCGTTTTGTTCGCTCTTTACTCCGGCTTCAGACGAAACGTAGCCTCTGACGTCTGAAACCTTAACAAACCCACTCGCCTAAATTTACACTTCACTGACGATGAAGGTGGAAACGCAGCTCTGACATAGAAAAAAATGGATCATAATGGCAACAATAATAAGTATGTTTGATCTCTAGTATTATTTGTCATAATACAAGACGTATGGCAAACTATAACACCCAGCAGGATAGTATGCAGTAATTCAGTGCAAAAATAAAAAAATTATGTATTGACAAACCACTTGCAATCCAGTTTAACTAAATACACTAAAATAGCATAACACTTGTTTAAATCAAGTTGGCATTTAATATTTTTTTCCATGATTGAACCCAAAAAAGTTTATTAAAAAGTTCCATACAATATCATTTATATAAATATGTAATTTATTTTAATAATGTAATAATTGATATAAATTTATAGTAATCCCTCTTTTTAATTAAAAACAACAAAGTATTTTTTTTAAATAAATGTTTTCATTATTTATACATTCAACATGTTGTATATATGAAATATATAATATATATTCATTAAAAAATCCCCCACAAATCAGTTACACACACACATATAAAATGTGAAATATTATTTTAATTTTTACATTTCATTTATATATTATATTTAAAAAAAAAATGATGCAAGTTTACACTTTAAATGTATAATTAATTTCATTAAAATATATATAGTAATCCTCCAACAAATCTGTTTAGTCTAATCTGTTTATATAAAATATATTTAGTCAAAATCTATATTTTATATATACACTGTAATAAAAAAAACAGTCATAAATAATAATAATAATAATAAGTAAATTAATAAATAAATAAAATGTAGCAGTAATTTTCTACCAGGACATTAATTTATTTATTTCACGGACAATTCCATTAACCCTAAAACAACGTAATGCAGCACAAAATTCAAAATACATGTAAAAAGCCTGTAAAAATCAATACGGAAAATTCTTTCATATTAATACCATTAATAGTTCATTGTGCTTTATTTTTACAGATTTTTTTAGCATTTACATTTTATTTTTTATATAAATAAATAAATATAAATTATATAAATTACTTAAACAGAAAAATACTATATTTCTGACTATTAATTCATATATAGGCTTTACACTGTACATTTCTTTTCCTTATTTGTTTCCTTAAAATCCTACTTCAAAAACCTTCAAAGGTTTTCTCACCACTGAAGACAGTCATCAAAAGTAGCTTTTTAGAGAATGTGGCTCTTGGCTCTTTCAAGTATTGCAAAACCAGTCGTACACAAGTACAACTATGAAGGACAGGACCGAGCTGACTTTGAACGAGTGCTTGGGTCACTGAAAAGGGTTGACGTGTCTGATGTCTCACTGTAATAAGCCACTGCTATCAATACGCTACGGCCCCGGTGAGTAATGGTCATTACTTCTCTGCCTGTCAAAGAAATCAAAGTTCACACCTGCAGACGTGGGCCTGCGCGACTTTATTACCGACGAGAACAAAAGACCAGCAGCAACACAACAACTTTAATAACGCTGAGACTGAGAGATATTGAGTGGACATTAAATGAAGGCGCGCGTCCCGACGCTCCGGGGGATTTCTGAGGGAGGCCGAATTCAAATGACTTTTTGTGTTTCTTTTTGTGTTCGACGAGGGAGAAAAGCGGACTAAACAATAACATGGAAGAAGGTAATAAAATAGGTGACGTTGAACAGAAGTAGCGCTCCGGGGTAGGAGAGCTGCTAATGTCCGTCAAAAGTCAAAGGATGTGCGAGAAGCTGCTTTTACGTCAGATGGTGACTGATCCGTACCGTTCACGTCCTTGAATGTGCTTATAGTGTTGTTTTCTGGCGCTAGGTGCGGATGTCAGTCAAGTATTCACTAGTGATGGGTCGTTCTTGAACGATT